CATGGCTGCTTTACCATTAATAGTACAAAATTTCAATTTTTTAGGCCATAGGGATCATAGGCTTCCAAATTTGGCGTTTACGATCGTAAATTCAGAAAATCATAGGGCGGTAGTTACAATAAAATGGGCGAATGTAGAAATAGGGCCTCTGGAGTCAGAATTTTTAAAAGTATTGGCACGTTTTGGGCTTTCTAAGGATGAAAGCCTCAAATTCATTTTAATTATTTAAGACTATAAGGATCATGAAGCCCCAAAATCTGCCATTTTCCCTTTAATTTCAGAAAACCATGAAGTGGTCGTTAAAAAAAATGTAAGATTGTAGAAATGGAGATCTGAACTGTGGATTTTTTAAATTATTGCCAAATTTAGGGCTTTCAAAGCGTCAAATCTTGACTAGCTTGCCATGAAGAGCACAAATTTCTATTTTTAGGGTCATAAGGATCATAAAGCTTCTAAATTTAGTATTTTCCGCCGTAAATTTAGAAAATCATGAGGGAAGAATTCAAACAATTTAAGCGAATGTAGAAATGAGGTCTCCGAGGTCATTAGTAAGGGAAGTATTGCATTGGGGTAAAAAATGGCCCCCTATTTCATGATCGTAGCGAAAGGGTATTCAGAAGACCCCTCGGTGTAGCTTTCTCACCCAAAAACGGAAACCAAGAAAGGAAGATTCGATTGTCCCTTTTTGTGAGTATCACAACAGTCTTCGAGGCTTAGCGTGTTTGGGAGAAAAAACATAAGGGGCGCTAGAATAACCCCCCCCCCCTATATTAAAAGATTTTCATGGGTATGCAAGGAAATCATCAAATTTTCATTACTGAGGGGTCGGGTTCTCACCCTAAAACGGAATCCAAGAAAGGAAATTATCCCTTTTTTTCACCCACACGTAAGTGAGAGAGGTATTGCATTGGGGTAAACAATGAACCCCCCGTTTTTTTACGGAAATACACCTTTTGAAGTGCCAGCAATCCGAATAAAAAAACCGAATGATGTCGCTCTGTCTGTCCGTCCGTCGATACTCTCATTTCCGGCTAAACGGATGAACCGATTGGAACCAAATTCGGTGTGCGCGCAACTCTTGTGCCGATAAAGCGTTTTTTTAAAACCGAAGTAGCTTAGTAAATCGTCCAAACGTTCCACTTGCTCTTAATGAGAGCCATATTTCGCTATTTAGTTTTAGAGAATAGTTATGTCATGTTCAGACGATTCATTTTGCGTTTGTTCCTCCGACCCAGCGTTTTCGGGATATTCCCTCCGCTCTGGAGAAACGAAAAAATACAACCGATCACGATAGGGGGTCCAGGAGGAAGACTGGTCGGTAGAAATGAATTTCCGTGTTTACTCCCATTTTCAAAATTTTATTTCGCCACACTAGATGTAAAAATTATGCAAGTTTTACTTTCGGAAACACAATTTTGAGAAATAATTTATGGGGGAGCCCCCCCCCCTTTAGAAAACAAAGGTCGAAGGCCGTCTGACACACCTTCAAGCCTATTGCTGTGCTATTGCAAAAAATTTCAAGACTGTAGGACAATGCCCCAAGCAGTAGTTCAAAACCGCAGAAGCGAGTCCGGACGGACGGACAGACAAAACGCAATCAATAGCGAATATTTTTAATTCTTAAGGAATGCGCTATTGTTTGCGTTTTGTCTGTCCGTCCGTCCGGACACACTTCAGCCGTAGTGAATTACTTTTAGGGGAATGGTCCTAGAGTCCTAGAATGTTTTGCTATAGGTAGCCTATACTTTAACAGACGGCCATCAAATTTCGCTGTGGGGGGGGGGGGCATGAATTATTGCCTGATTTCCTGTGATGCTGTTTCTTAAAGTAAAACCAACATACCTTTTATAAGCGAAAACCAATTTATCTCAGATTTTGCATACGCAGGCGTTTAGTGGTGCCAAGTAAGACTTAAAAATAAAGGGCGGGGGCGGAGGTGAACACGCGTTCTACCCTTCATGATATTCTAAAGAAAGGACTCATCGAAATGGGTGACCGCGGGGTGATTGGATGTAATTCCTTACATCTCAAAAACAAATTGTCGGTGGGATGTACTTACAAAGGACGATTGGGACGTCCGAAAGAAATATATTGATTGGTGACGTCAAAACTTTAAGAGCGAATATCTCGAAAACAGTTCGTGGGAGGATACTGGCACTAGCGTTGGGCAAAAAAATCGATTAATCGATTATAATCAAACGATAATCGATAATCGGGTTTGATTATTCTATTAAATTAATCGATTAATCGATTATTTGATTAATCGATTATTTGATTAATCGATTAATTGATTAATCGATTATTTGATTAATCGGTAATTTGATTAATCGATTGTTTGATTAATCAATTATTAAGTAAATTTTAATTGATTATTATTAGCTGGATCATCAGTTTACTGAAAAAGGAGCACTCACAGCTCACAAGTATTATTTTATTTTATAGCGGATGTTAAAACGTCACTTTAAGCAGCGATTGTATCATCAAAACTAAAGCACACCTCATCGGAGAGTAAGCTGCCTAATCATTTATTTTTATTTATTAATTTTTATTTTTGACCTTCATGTTCAAATGGGCAGGGTTTCACCCAAGGCTGTTCTACCAACCAACCCACTATGCATTTGCAAATATCCATGCCCGAACCCGGATTCGAACCAGGGACACTTTGTTGATTATTGATTAATCGATCTGCCTAGTAATGAACGATTTGATGAAAAGAGTAATGGAATTATTTTTTATTTTTATTATTAAATAATTAACGTATTAATGCATACAAACAGATATTTATCACTCCTTGTATGTGACAATCGACTTTTGATTAAACGATTAGGTGATTAATCGATGATTTGATTAATCGATTAATCAGTGTAATCGATTATTTTTCATAATCGATTATCGATTATTCAAATCCGTAATCGCCCAGCCCTAACTGGCACACGTAAAATGAATTGTCTAGATGAGACATAGATAGATAGATACTTTTATTCTTTTCCAAAGAGGTGTTGAATATTTCAAAAAATTATTAACATTATTAACAATCGTAAACAAACAACAAGAAAATATAAATATACATATCCAGTAAAAAATTAATAAATACTAAACTACGTAAACTCATTCCTGGAAAACGTCAAAGAATTCCTTTAAAGAATAAAAAACAAAGGAACTAAGTCTCATTCTTAGCGTTTTTTTGTAAACATATCAAGTGAAGGAATTGACCTTATACCCTGAGGAATGCAAGTGTATACCTTTTGGTGAAGTTAAAGCGAAGTTCTTGAAAAAGAAGGGTGGGAAGAAGGCACTCGTGAAGGGCAAGTGGAACGTCAGGACGAGGGCGGAAAGACGAGAGACGAGACTAAGGAAAATGCAATGTTTCGGAGAATTTCTCTAAGACGTTTGATTATTCTTGCATTTATCTGCACCAGAGTTGTGCACAATTTATACTTGTTAAAATTATTTGCACATTTAGGGCGTTCTAAACGTCAGATCTTTGAATTCATGATGGCTGCTTTGACAGTAAGAACGTAAATTTCAATTTTTTAAGACTATAAGTATCTTAAAGCATCAACATTAAACATTTTCTGTCGAAAATTCAGAAAATCATAGGGTGGTGGTCACAATAAAAATTACGAATGTAGAAATGGAACTTCTGGAGTCCGAGTTTTTCAAACTATACTGGCCTTTCTAAGCGTAAAATCTTTAATTTCGTGGCTACTTTGTCATTAAGAGCGGAAAATTAACATTTTTTAGGCCATAAGAACTATATAGTACCCAAATTCGCCATTTTCTTTATCTGATTAACCCATATAATATGTACTGAGTTCGTCCCTTTTTTATTCGGTAGCTTATAGCTCACATGTGCAGTCTGCGCAATAATAAGTTTCTTGCAAAACAACCCTATAATTGCACTCGCAGAGTGTACAAAAATTTAGAGTAGCTCGCCCTTCACGGAAAATCATCCAGTAAGAGTTGCAACTTTTGTGGTAGATAAAATATTATTGGAAATGATCCAGGGGCGCACTAAAGAACCAATGCAGCGGGTTGCTAGAACTCTGTTTTCCTCTTTATAGTACTAGAAACAAGAAAATCCCTAGCAAATGACAAGGACACTTGCAGGGGCGCACTAAAGGGATTACTCAATACAAAACATTGAGGCGAGTAAAGAGGTTAGCACAATAGACTAGGAGTTCTTTGTATATGATGAATCTGCTAAGTATCTGGTCTGATTAACATATGTAGGTAGGTAGTGGTTTTTGCACAAGATTTTTCTTAAGATTCATTGATCGATGATCTTATTCAAAACGATAAGATTGGATTCTGCATATAGTGAGATAAATAAATGCACCCGATACCTAAAAACAATAACACATTAACACGCAATAAGAAAAGCGTTTAGATTATCAAACTTATCGTGCCCAGATAAACAATACCTAATTGTAATCTAATGGTTCAACTGCTACGACTGGATTTTTTGAATATCTCAAGAAGGCCACGAACAAGGTCGGTGCGTTACAGACTTACAGACGCAATTTTTCAATGTCCAGTGCGATTCGCCTTCTTTTGGCACACGTGCAATTAACTGTACGATAATTATCGTGAGTCATTTACGAACACGTGCGCTTAGTAAACAGTAAAAAATTAATATCAAGTACGCGACTGGTCAGCCGTGATTTAAAAAGGTGACATCAAACCGATGTTATGGCATAACATAAACATAGCTTGAAGAAAAAAAAAATGAATCTCAATTAAACAATGTATACAAATGCGATTGCATAACCATAAATACATTATAAAAAAACTGGTTAGTACTATTAATTACAGATGTGCAAGAAGTGTGCCGCTAAATTAATTACGATCGGGAATTTCGCATTAATTATCCTTGAAAACATAAACAATGAACGAACTTTTTTATCAAATTTCGGCCTTGCGGAGATGGTCCTGGACCGACTTTGAACTTTAATCGCATACCAAAAGAATGAAATCAAACAAGTTTCGCTTATAGTTACCTTGTAATTGAACTACCCAGATTCGCACCTGAAGATCGTGTTAACTAAGCTACACTCTAATTTAGTAGTGTTTTTCGAAATTATAGCGGGATAGAAAAAAACTCGCGCGACGATTTTTAATTAGTTTTTGAAAAATTCGCACGGAACAAACGCGCCTGCAGTTGCCACCGATCGACAGGAAAAGTTATGCTCGACGCCGAGACGCTCGCAGCGACGCCTATACAACGACGCTTTAAAGACTACCGTTTCACTTGCGGATAACAACAATAATACTGCAAAAGGTCGGCCTCCGCCGACACCCACTCGGTATTAATCGTATATTACGAAATGAATTAGTCCTTCTAATAGGAATATTAAAAACAAAATAAATTCGAGGAATTTTCATCCATTTTCACTTTAAATCAGATTGAATTATAGGAAGCGGCGCGTGCGAAAAAAGATTTTATTTTCCCGCTTTTTCTCGTCCTCGAGGAAGTTAGCGAATGTGGTTTGGTTTTTTCAGGTAGGATTTGAAATGAAAAGGGCTTTCAATCGCGGCGGGCGGCGGTTCATCTTATAGAGAAGCCGGATGTCCAAATTATAAGCCCTACAGGCAGCCATATAATAAGAGGCAATTGAAATTGCTACGTGAATAAACAATTCGGTGTAATAATTATGCGAAATATTTGAAGGTGATCGTTTTTTGCAATTGTCTGAATTCCTTTTTGATAGGGAACCACAAATCTATTTTGCCTCGCCCCCAGAAAAGCCTCGCTCTATGCCACCGCTGCATTGACTCAAAAAATAACACCCCCTGACATTCGCCACCAAGATATTCGCGAACAGAGAGTTAGTCCAAAAATTCGATTAGTAAATCCTACACTCCGAGATTTTGTCATCGTCGATGAAAGTAGAAAATATCTGAAGCCCCGCAGAAGTGCAAAAAAAAGCAATTTGAGAACCAATAGTGATAGAATTTTTATTATCATGCATACTGTACCTACTAAAACTGGGTAATATGTTATTAGGTATCATTTAAGCTTGCAATGAATGAGTGCTAAGGAAGGGCATTTTTAACAAAAAGTTCGTAATTTACAAACGACTAGGGGTTGCATTCGTATATACACTTATATAGGGTTGTTGTTAACCCTTTTAGCGAAATTATTTAAAAAAACATAAATATTTGATGCGCCTTTAAAAATGACAAACTTTACACTGCACAACAACCAAGAAAGATTGCACTTGTAAACTAAAAAATTCGTAATTTACAAACGACTAAGGGTTGCACTTTAATAAACACTTATATAGGGTTGTTGTTAACCCTTTCAGAGTAATTACTTAAAAAACAGTAATATTTGATGTGCCGTTTAAAATGTCAACACTAACATTGGACAACTGCCAAGAAAGATTGCATTTTTAACTAAAAAAATTCGTAATTTACAAACGACCAGGGGTTGCACTTTAATAAATACTTACATAGGGTTGTTGTTAATCCTTTTAGCGTAATTACTTATAAAAACAGTAATATTTGATGTGCCTTTAAAAATGACAACACTAACATTGGACAACTGCCAAGAAAGATTGCATTTTTAACTAAAAAAATTCGTAATTTACAAACGACCAGGGGTTGCACTTTAATAAATACTTACATAGGGTTGTTGTTAATCCTTTTAGCGTAATTACTTATAAAAACAGTAATATTTGATGTGCCTTTAAAAATGACAACACTAACATTGGACAACTGCCAAGAAAGATTGCATTTTTAACTAAAAAAATTCGTAATTTACAAACGACCAGGGGTTGCACTTTAATAAATACTTACATAGGGTTGTTGTTAATCCTTTTAGCGTAATTACTTATAAATGCAGAAATATTTGATGTGCCTTTAAAAATGACAACCCTAACACTGGACAACTGCCAAGAAAGATTGCATTATTAACTAAAGAATTCGTAATCTACAAAAGACTAGGGGTTGCACTTTAATAAACACTTATATAGGGTTTTTGTTAACCCTTTTAGAGTAATTATTTAAAAAAACAGAAATATTTGATGCGCCTTTAAAAATGTCAACCCTAACACTGGACAACTGCCGAGAAAAATTGCAATTTTAAATAAAAAAATTCGTATTTTACAAACGACTAGGGGTTGCACTTTAATAAATTTTTATATAGGGCTGTTGTTAACCCTCTAAGCGTAATAAATATTTATAAACAGAAATATTTGATGCGCCTTTAAAAATGTCAACCCTAACACCGGACAACCGCCGAGAAAGATTTCATTTTTAACTAAAAAATTCGTAATTTACAAACGACTAAGGGTTGCACTTTAATAAACACTTATATAGGGTTGTTTTTAACCCTTTCAGAGTAATTACTTAAAAAAACAGTTATATTTGATGTGCCTTTAAAAATGACAACCTAACCCTGGACAACTGCAGAGAAAGATGTCATTTTTAACTAAAAAATTCGTAATTTACAAACGACTAAGGGTTGTACTTTAATAAACACTTATATAGGGTTGTTGTTAACCCTTTCAGAGTAATTACTTAAAAAACAGTAATATTTGATGTGCCGTTTAAAATGTCAACACTAACATTGGACAACTGCCAAGAAAGATTGCATTTTTAACTAAAAAAATTCGTAATTTACAAACGACTAGGGGTTGCATTCGTATATACACTTATATAGGGTTGTTGTTAACCCTTTTAGCGAAATTATTTAAAAAAACATAAATATTTGATGCGCCTTTAAAAATGACAAACTTTACACTGCACAACAACCAAGAAAGATTGCACTTGTAAACTAAAAAATTCGTAATTTACAAACGACTAAGGGTTGCACTTTAATAAACACTTATATAGGGTTGTTGTTAACCCTTTCAGAGTAATTACTTAAAAAACAGTAATATTTGATGTGCCGTTTAAAATGTCAACACTAACATTGGACAACTGCCAAGAAAGATTGCATTTTTAACTAAAAAAATTCGTAATTTACAAACGACCAGGGGTTGCACTTTAATAAATACTTACATAGGGTTGTTGTTAATCCTTTTAGCGTAATTACTTATAAATGCAGAAATATTTGATGTGCCTTTAAAAATGACAACCCTAACACTGGACAACTGCCAAGAAAGATTGCATTATTAACTAAAGAATTCGTAATCTACAAAAGACTAGGGGTTGCACTTTAATAAACACTTATATAGGGTTTTTGTTAACCCTTTTAGAGTAATTATTTAAAAAAACAGAAATATTTGATGCGCCTTTAAAAATGTCAACCCTAACACTGGACAACTGCCGAGAAAAATTGCAATTTTAAATAAAAAAATTCGTATTTTACAAACGACTAGGGGTTGCACTTTAATAAATTTTTATATAGGGCTGTTGTTAACCCTCTAAGCGTAATAAATATTTATAAACAGAAATATTTGATGCGCCTTTAAAAATGTCAACCCTAACACTGGACAACTGCCGAGAAAAATTGCATTTTTAAATAAAAAAATTCGTATTTTACAAACGACTAGGGGTTGCACTTTAATAAATTTTTATATAGGGCTGTTGTCAACCCTCTAAGCGTAATAAATATTTATAAACAGAAATATTTCATGCGCCTTTAAAAATGTCAACCCTAACACCGGACAACCGCCGAGAAAGATTTCATTTTTAACTAAAAAATTCGTAATTTACAAACGACTAGGGGTTGCACTTTAATAAACACTTATATAGGGTTGTTGTTAACCCTTTCAGAGTAATTACTTAAAAAAACAGTAATATTTGATGTGCCGTTTAAAATGTCAACACTAACATTGGACAACTGCCAAGAAAGATTGCATTTTTAATTTAAAAAATTCATAATTTACAAACGACTAGGGGTTGCACTTTAATAAACACTTATATAGGGTTGTTGTTAATCCTTTTAGAGTAATTACTTAAAAAACAATAATATTTGTTGCGCCTTTAAAAATGACAACCCTTACACTGGACAACTGCCAAGAAAGATTGCATTTTTAACTAAAAAAATTCATAATTTACAAACGACTAGGGGTTGCATTTTTATAAACACTTATATAGGGTTGTTGTTAACCCTTTTAGTGTAATTATTTAAAAAAACAGAAATATTTGATGCGCCTTTAAAAATGACAACCCTTACACTGGACAACTGCCAAGAAAAATTGCATTTTTAAATAAAAAAATTCATAATTTACAAACGACTAGGGGTTGCATTTTTATAAACACTTATATAGGGTTGTTGTTAACCCTTTTAGCGTAATTATTTAAAAAAACAGAAATATTTGATGCGCCTTTAAAAATGTCAACCCTTACACTGGACAACTGCCGAGAAAAATTGCATTTTTAAATAAAAAAATTCGTAATTTACAAACGACTAGGGGTTGCACTTTAATAAACACTTATATAGGGTTTTTGTTAACCCTTTTAGAGTAATTATTTTAAAAAAACAGTAATATTTGATGCGCCTTTAAAAATAACAACCCTAACACTGGACAAATGCCAAGAAAAATTGCATTTTTAAATAAAAAATTCGTAATTTACAAACGACTAGGGGTTGCACTGTAATAAATTTTTATATAGGGCTGTTGTCAACCCTCTAGCGTAATCAATATTTATAAACAGAAATATTTCATGCACCTTTAAAAATGTCAACCCTAACACTGGACAACCGCCGAGAAAATTCGCATTTTTAACTAAAAAAATTAGTAATTTACAAACGACTAGGGGTTGCACTTTAATAAACACTTATATAGGGTTGCTGTTAACCCTTTTAGAGTAATTACTTAAAAAAACAGTAATATTTGATGTGCCTTTTAAAATGACAACCCTAACACTGAACAACTGCCGAGAAAAATTGCATTTTTAACTAAAAAAATTAGTAATTTACAAACGACTAGGGGTTGCACTTTAATAAACACTTATATAGGGTTGTTGTTAACCCTTTTAGAGTAATTACTTAAAAAACAGTAATATTTGATGTGCCTTTTAAAATGACAACCCTAACCCTGGACAACTGCCAAGAAAATTTGCATTTTTAACTAAAAAAATTCGTCATTTACAAACGACTAGGGGTTGCACTTTAATAAACACTTATATAGGGTTGCTGTTAACCCTTTTAGAGTAATTACTTAAAAAACAGAAATATTTGATGCACCTTTAAAAACGATAACCCTAACACTGGACAACTGCCAAGAAAAATTCCATTTTTAAATAAAAAATTCGCAATTTACAAACGACTAAGGGTTGCACTTTAATAAACACTTACATAGGGTTGTTGTTAACCCTTTTAGAGTAATTCCTTAAAAAAACAGTAATATTTGATGCGCCTCTAAAAATGACAACCCTAACACTGGACAACTGCCAAGAAAGATTGCAGTTTTAACTAAAAAAATTCGTAATTCGAAATTGGTTTCTAATCCATAACTTTTGATTGAGAAGTCCGATCGAAAAAGTACGAATTGTTTTGGATTCTACGCACCAAAATTAATAAGAAAAAGTGTTTTGGGAGAAATTTTGGTGCAGTCGATTTTTGGTAAAAAAGGAAGGTTATACACTGCCTTTTTTTGAGCCCCGAAAAAAAAATTGTCTTAGATCGACCCGGAAAAAAATTTTTCTTATAGAATGTGTAGTCCAGTAACTATATACATCAGACCAAGCGTCAAATCCGGTAGTTCTGATTTTTTGTGGGATTGCTTATGTTGTTAACCCAATGTATAATTCAAGTTTTCGACCTCGAGCGGCGAACGCAACATAGTCAAATATACTAAAAACCGAGGAATTTTCGTTTTCTTTTCTGATTTTGACGATTTTAATTTTAACGACTAGGGGTTGCACTTAAATAAATTCTTATTTAGGGTTATTGTTAACCCTCTAAGCGTAATAAATATTTATAAACAAAAATATTTGATGCGCCTTTAAAAATGACAACCCTAACACTGGACAACTGCCAAGAAAGATTGCATTTCCATTTCAAACTTTCCCTTTCCGTATTTTGGGTTTATATACAATAACAGCACGATTTAGAGTTTTCAGGCATGTGGAAAAGAGTTTTAGAATTTTTGTAGTTAACTTTCAGAGAATCAAAAGTAAAACAGTTACAGTTTTACTTCAGACTTCCAATACTTAGCTAAACGAAGAGAAGTTTCATCCCTTTATTGCAACAACGACCGCTGCAGTTGCTGAATACCGAGAATATCGAGTGTTACTTTATAACCATACAAGTGAAATTATTAGATTTTAACCAAAGAAATGTTTAAACACTTTTGCATGTGTCCCAATGGGGTACATAGAACGCTAGGACTTTTTATAAACATTTAATGAGTAATTGAATGAAGGGTTTGACACTTGCCTGAACGCCTGAGTGGTAGATGAGACTACGGTTGGGCTTCCATAGTTGGGCGAGTGTTGTAGAAATCATACGAAGATGTCCGATGAGTCATCCGAAGGTAGAAACAGGTTGCCTCCAGAGCGAATGTGGTGAATTTCTAGGAGTTCTTGAACCCGAAAGTATGCAGCAACCTGTTGTGGAATAAGATAGCATTAGCAAACTAATAGTCAATTTTATTAAAATTTAGTTCAAAACCGTTTTACCGTCTTTTTGGTATTAGAAGAATTTGCGCAGAGGATCTCTACTCTCGCTCATCAGAAACCCTAAACTCCTGCAACTATTGAACCACCATACTGTGACGGTGTTGCTTCAGTAACGATAATGCCATATTCTATAAATTAGAAAAAAAATTGTTAGACCTCTGTTAACAAAGCTGCTTCAGTTACCCATCTCCACCTGGATTGAGCTGTACGTTAAACTCACTGGAACGGATCGCGTAAGAGGCTCTTGGAGGTGCAGGCGGGGTCTCGAGATACCTGCAAAGTCAATACTGACTTAAACCTTTGCCCCTTAAGGCAATAAAAGCATTAATTTGAGCACAACCCCTAAAGCTTTTGATTAAATGATGCAACTCTCGGCTAGGTCACACCACGGCGTAAAATACACCATGGCTAGAACTACCCAGGACTCACCACGTGGAGGTGGTTGCAAGTCGAGCCCCGCGCCATGCCCGCCCATCCACCCAACCTATGAGCATGGTCTCCAACGAAGAGATTTAACTTTTACGTATAACGTCCATCAATCCAAAAAGCGGCTCTTGTTGGAGAGTTTAACGCTTTTGAAAGTTGTGCTCAAATTAAAGACTTCGGGACATCAAACCTAATTTACGCATTAGCTGATCTTTAATTGAAAATGCAAAATCTTGGAAACTGGAGCTGTTGCGGAAAGAGGTTCAACATCACAAAGGTACATAAAACACTTACATCGTTTTCCTTCGGAGTTTTTCTTGAAAAAAGTTCAGCTTTCCTTGTGGTGCAAGCAAGATAACAGAGAAATCTCAGCTTAGGCAAAATATAAGTAGTAAGATGCTTATACAAAATTGAAGAGCTCTTTTCAGAGACTTTTAGAATACTCATTTCGTAACAATAATATAGATTATATAAGAAGTGTTTCAATTTCGAGAATATCTTTCAGAGTATACAGAATATAGAGGTGTAGTAAGTATAGTATAAAGAATATTGTAGAGAATAGATAGTTAGATAATTTCTAGAATATCTTTCAGAGAACATTTCATCGAGATTCAGGTAGTAGTCATAAAAAAAATGTAAGTTTCTTAAGTGTGTGATTCTGCTTAGAGTACCTTCTTCATCAATGTTTAGCCAAGAGCATCTCCTTCTCCGGCGGCCGCTTTTTCCTGCCTTTCGATAAATATGCCCCCCGCATTTTTATTAAACTTAGTAGATCTCTTTCAGCTCCCATCACTTGTAATACTATGCGATCAAAAATGAGTTGCTCTCGAGTCACCTTTGGCATTTTTGTTTACATGGGAACTCTTACTTAGTTTGAACTTCCAAAGGCGGCTCGACAGCAACTCATCTGATCGCCCGTTAGTAATCAAACGTATAATATACTTACGGAACCACTTGTCATTTCAAACAAGAAATGTCATTTTAAATTATGCAGTTGTGTAGAAACCTTTCAGTATAACATCAAAGATGTTTTCTAGTAGTAAATAACATAGACATTATTATGCAGTTTACCTTAACCTTGTTTTAAGTAGACTTTTCAATAGAATAGGTAAGAATTATTTGAGCAGAATGCCCACTGATATCACGTGTCAAATTTACCTTTTGCAAAAGAGAGGGGGAAACTTTGTACTTGAAAGTCAAGCGTGGTATCCCTCGATACACACTGAGATGAGACGCAAGGTACTTACTCATCAAGAATGAGCCGAAGATAAGCACCTTGCCTTCTAAAGAATGGATACGAAAATGTGCATCCATTTGGATCTAGAGTTACCATTAGAAAGGAATGAAGATAACAATGAATTATTATCCTTGTTATACCGTAGTTCAGCTTCTTCAAAAGAAGATTTAATCATTCAATTGTAATTTTGTGTTCTTCTAATGATCTTAAGTGAAACTAAAAAAAAGATTCTCATCGGCTACCTACTCAAAAATATCAGCTATTTTTTTCAAACCTAATATTTTGCACTTTGTTGACGTTTGCCTGATACGCTATTATCAGCATAAAATTATTGCAAACCCTAACTTTCAAGAATGAGCTAACCTTCTGCAACCAAAATAAACGTACCTACCATATGCGAAATAAAACCTATGACTATTCTTGTAAAGCAAATCCTATGTTTACCTAAAGAACTTATTTTCTACATATTTACCCATTTATAAATGTGCGCAGTTTTTTCACCATGGTGATAAAATATACCTACTCTAGGAATATTTAATTAAACTTATTTAGAAATTTAAAAAAAATAATGCAATTTTTGACGCCTCTACCTGCACGCAAAATCTTCCGAAAGTCTCCAAGAATTTGATTAAATACATAAGTAATACTACAAGACCTTCGAAAGATTTGACCATTGGGCCACACTAGGTCATTTGGACCCGTTGCTACTACATGTAAATTAAAGGTTTTCGTTCGATCAGCCCTTTCTACCAATATGCTCACCGCCGCGATTCATACTAACTGAAATGGTAATAATATAACATGCATGCACCCATTCTGTCCTAAAAATTCTGATCGAACAAAAACGGTACGAACGCTAAGGAGGATTTTCGAACAATACAAACGTTGTCATCGACCTTATCGTTCTCAATATTCTAAAATTCAGACTGCGTTAGTGAGATTCAGTCATACAGTTGTACTAGAGATCAAAGTTACCTCACACATACCCAGTCATCTATGCAACAAATCCATCACCAATTTCATAAATGCCGATCTGCTTACCTCTCCTACTTACTACATGAGATTATTGCGAACCGTCCAAATCAGTCAGATTGGTGTAGGAACTACACAAAAAAAATCAACTTACCTAGTATGTTTAGGTATAGGTATGAATTCATAGCTACACCCACTACTGGTAGAGTGATTTTTTCAAAATGATTGATTTATAGCTCGCTTATTTCCCATCTAGCAGTATAATACCTATACCAAAAAGTCCTTCGTCGGCGATCTTCCTGCACTGTTCACTAATCACTGACATGTTAGCAAATCCCAACACCCAGGTAATAAGAAAAGCACTTACCGGAAAGCTGGCGTTCATCTGTCTCCTGAAACAAATCACAAATATAAGCCAAAAACACTGGAATTGGCAGAACATGCGTAAGTGAGTTTTTGAAAATTAAAGATTGTTTCAATTATGAATTTTTGTGGGATTCTAATGTTTCTAGGGCGATCTACCTAAAAGATTCCACAAAAAGTTTTCCTAAGAAATTTTCTAATTTTACTACCGCCCATTAGATTCCTCAGATCATTCTTAAGAATATTTCCAAAAGAGCACCGACCGAGCAACTACCGGGAGGGCGGTTGTCCGCGAAGTGGGAAATCACACCAAAGGCGGAAGAATTCTTCGAGATGATCAACGGAGTCAAGATGGAGAAAGTCAGGAGAAACCACTCCATTAAAGACCTCACGGTATCCCTTGAGAAGTGCCAGAGAAAGATTTCTCCCGAGTTAAAATAGTCCCCAATTCGGATCTCCGGGGTGAGCAGCATCCGAAGATGAATTGAAGAAAAATAATGAGAAGGAAAAGGGTAAGTTGAAAATGGGAATTTGAAACGTCAGAAAAAAGCTTGAAAAATTACGGCGAGAAATGATTCAAAACAGACTGGATTTGGATTGGAATTAGTGAAACAATGTGGGAGGGGCACAGACAGGAAAATACGTCAAAATTAGGCTTAAAATCGTAAAACACGGAAAGAAAGAACATGGATCAAAACGGGAATGATCAAAACAACTAAAGAAAAAGGTGAATATAAAAAAGGAATAAGATCAAAGAAGCCTTTGATAGATCAGGAAATGATAGCAAAGATGGAAAAGAGAAGAAGGTACAAAAATATCAATCCTGAAAGAGGACGAAGACAATATCGTAGGCTAAATACGAAGTTGAGAAAATAAACTGATTAAGCTAGGAAAACGTGGTGGGAAAATCAATGTAATGAAATAGAAAAGCTTGATAGGATAGGAAGGTACGATATTATTTACAACAGGATTACAGAGGTTACCAGACACGAATCATCAAGAGCTCGGAGGGAGGACAGGAATGAAAAAGTATGTCGATGGAAAGAGTATGGTAGATCTCAATAAAACACATGAACATCCAAAGCAAATGGAACTGGAAAGAGAAGAATCACCTGTCTTTACCATATAAGAGCCAGCTTTATGCTTACGGACGCGACGTGGAAAGCGCAATCCAAGATATGAATTCAAGTAAAGCTACGAGCATAGATGGAATCTTTTTGTAATGATATACACTATACAGGCCGTTTCACGCAAACAGTTACGTAGAAGTATTCAAACTTCCATTAATAACTTAAACATGAAAATTTGTATACACACGTAGTTTTTCATGATTTTTTTGAAAATTTGACTTCAATTTCAAAAAGTCTTCCAAAATGAACAATACGGACGTGATGCGAATGATCTAAATATTGATCCCCGTTCTACAGAGTGTTTTAAAATTAATGATAATGATCAAGTTAGAAACCTGCTTTATTTTTTTGCACTTTATCAAATGTAGGATGATAAAAAATGTATAAAATAATTTCTATGGAAACTTTAAAGCAATTCACAATGACAGTTTTCAAGAACATTTTTCCGTGATTTTTTGAATTTTTTCTCTCAGAAATAAGTAAATTAAGATTAAAATTGTCAAGGTTTTGTGTGTCTTTTCAAACAAATATGAAACGTGGAAGTGCAATTTCAAATGTTGGTTAATGGGAGGGGAGTTGCAATTCGACCCTTTCCAATAGCCCATTACAAAATTCAATTCGGAGTTTATGTGTTGGGTGGTACGTTTTGGTAATTACATTTGTAAGACTTACCTGGCCAAGCTTTAAATCGCTCCCTCCAACATGAGGATCGGTCACCCATTTCCACGCAATCGAAATCACATAACGCGTCGCGCAGGCAACTGAAAGGATAAAAAAATATTTTCATTAGCAACACATAATTGGGGGTAACATATTTACACAAATGAACTTAGGGTTGCTGGTAAATCCGATAGAAGGATAATCATCCGAAAGTAAAATATTTGAATACTGCACAGGAGACGCCCATTCAAGGGATCCTTTAACTTAACACCGCTATTTAAAATTTCTGGCTAAAATAGATACTAGCGCTACTTTGAGTTCAACTAGCATCAGTCTAGATTTTGCAAGAAAGCCCTTGACTTTCGGGGGGAGGTATGTTAAGGAAGCGCTGTATTCGTCAGACCTAGCGCCAGTTAGCACCATAAATTTGAGTGCTAGCGCCACCACCCAATAGTGGGGGTGGATTTCGCCTAGCGCCACCATTTCATCTTTTCGGGCAAAATGTTGACATTTTGTGTTGTCCTGACCTAGCGCCGTATATGGTCACATATTTCTGTTCCTGTTGTAAAACTTTTAAACTCTCGGGAAGCAATCGCCCCTGTAGGGTATAAGTG